CACACATACACACACGAGTTAATGATCAGTTTTATTGTCTCTTTCTGCATGTCCATCACATTTGTAAGCCTTCTGATCCTAATAAACACAGAAAAAAGACCTTACTCAGGACTCTTGTCTCCTCCTAGACATTCGCCTCTCTCATGTTCAATTCTGCATTTGCTCTTTTGCTAGACAAGAAAGAACTCAGACTCAAAGTCTACAACCAGTTTCAAAGAAATATTGTTGAGGGGGAAAAAAGGAAGTAATATAAGTGAACACACTATGAGATTCCATTTATATAAAGTGAAAACCTGGGGACGCCTGGGTGGCTCAGTCAGTTGCACATCTGACACTAGATTTCAACTCGGGTCATGATCTTATGATTCATGGGATAATGGGATCAAGCCCCACATTGCTTGATCCACATTCCTGTCAGCTCTGCATTGACAGCATGGAGCCTGCTTGGGATCCTCTCTTTCCCTTTCTCTCTCTCTGCCCTTACTGGCTTGTGCACTCATGCTCTCTCTCTCTCTCTCAAAGTATATAAATAAAGAGTTAAAAATAAAGTGAAAAGCTGAAAAAGTAAAAGAAACATATAATTTAAGAACATGTAGGTTATAAAACCAAGAATGGAAATTAATAGAATGCTAAAATTAAAAATCAGAATAGTGGTTACTTCTGGGGTTAGATGGGAAGAGTGATCAAGGAGGAGCATACAGGCATTAAAGTCCATGAATCAGGATGTAAACATTAAAAAATGAAATCATGTCAAGAATTTGTATTACAGGAAATTTAATCAGGAATTACTGACATAGGTGATGGAAGAGCCGAGAAACCAAATATGAGAGAGTGAGATAGGGCAGACACTAGCAAAAGCAGGATCCCACTACCATCTCTAGGCCAAAGAAAAAAAGGAGGAGATGGTATTACCATAGCCCAGACTGGCAACACAGGGCCTATTCAATAGCCATTGGGAATATACAGCTACCCCAGATGTATGTGTAAGGCATGGCCAGGGACACAAAATGTCCTAGTTTCTTTCTTCCTCCTGCCTTCCTAACTCCTGCAATGGCTCACACTTCCCTACCACAGGTGGAAGGGAACTGGGGTCATGTAACCTGCAAAGTCCTTCCCTCTTGTGATACAGAGTATAGGTCTAAGGGCCAGTAAGCCCAGGACAGGCACATTAGGATGGTAGTTCTTTTTCTTAAAGGAGCAGTGCATATATGTGTTTCTATTTTATCATTGTTCTTTAACCTAAATATATACATTTTTCTTTTATGTACAATACTTTGCAATATATATAAAAATATATATATAGTTATGTATTTTACTTCTAGCATGGCAAGAAATGTTTTGCTTTGTGGATTATATCAGCAATTTAGCAATTTCGATACACTACAGGGATACATGAGCTTTCCAAATTGATTTTTTTTACTGTAAGATCTTTTAAAATTCCAATCAGTTTCCACGTTGGTAAAATGGACACAATAATACGTACTTTCCAGAGTTATTTCAAATTCTACGGGAGATAGTATGCATGAGAGGTCTAACACTGTGGCTGTCATAAGGTACAACTTCAGTGAAAGTGACTGGTCAAATCTTTTCCTCATGGAGCTGTGAAAAAGCTAGTGAGGCCTTTTCTGATTTCAAAACTTGACCAGAAAAGACTAAATAATTATAAATTTCTTTTCATATTCTTAAAGAAGGCAATTAACACACTTCTATGAATTTTTACTATTATATTGGTGCTTTGCTACTGGCATATTCAAAAGCAGAAGGCAACAAGTATTGCAAAAAGGATGTCTCTGTTACAGTACTCATTAGTCCAAGGGGTTAAAGGAAAAAATACACTGAGTACATGCAGAATGTTGGCCGCCCCACCCAAAAGAAAACATTTAAAATGGAGCAGTAGAGACTTAAAATCACTTCCCATAAACAATGGCAGGAATGTGTAGTTTACCGAGGACTGAAATAATCCCACAGCAGTGCGGTGAATTTTCATTGATATATAAGTGGTTGCCTATTATTTGCAACAATGAAGAGGACTAATTTAACACAAGAATATAGCAGGAGAGGCAATGCCGGCTTAATAATAGGTTCATTCTCTGCAGGAATTCATATGAGTGAGTAGGGGAAATAAGGATAGCTGCAGAGTGGGGAAGAGAAGGCAGAACGAGATGGCTGCAAACCGCATGGCATCTTTGCTTGGAAGTCTATTACATGAATGTGCCAAGGAGCTGTTTCAGTGCCCTACTGTGTGAGTCAAGAAATGTGACTACAACTTGACAAAGTACAAAAGGTAAAGACTGGGTAAAGCTGACAGACCTCAGGGATCTCTGTTATTGGCTGTTCCCCTTCAGAGTGTCACTGGCAGAAGATGAAAGCAGCCCCTGGCACATTGAGCTGCAGGTGCACAGCCCTAACTTGGTTACAGAGCAGCAGGGGAAGAAAAGGTGTGCCCTTCACTGGAATCCAATTTGTTAAAGGAAACTGTACATTCTTTGAAACTATTTACCCTGATTTGGAAATTAGTGGTTGCCTTAGCAACACTTGAATCCCATGAGGCTCACACACAGTGCTAATTTCAATTCATGGACACCTTCACGGGTGAGGAAAGCAAACAGTAAGTTGAGTGTCCCATCTGACATGCCTCTCACAGGAAATGAGATTTCTCCCTGCTTATAAAAATTTTCTGATAATGACCCCCATTTATCAATAGCTTCTATGTAGCAGGTGATATGCTGTAAGCTTCACATTTGATTTCATTTGATGGTTACAGCAAGCCTGCAAGGTCAGTAATATTATTCCCATTTTCCAGATGACAAATAGGCTATAGAGAGGATACATGATGTTCCCAAGGTCACCCAGTGGTGGTTTAAGGATTTTAACTCAAATTTAGCTGACTCCAATATTCAGTGTTCTTTTAGCAATTCTAACTTTGTTAAGAATAATACAAATGTTTTTAACTGCAAAGTACCTTTGGGATTATCTGTCACAGTGTCCTTATTTAAAACTTAAGGAACTAGAAACATAAAAAGGCCAAGAGATTTACCCAAGGTCACATGGCCAATGATGGCAGGGTTGAGAATAGAATCCAGGCTTCAGGACTCTTAGCATCCATTTTTTGAAGTCATCTCTGAGCCATCTAAATTGTGATGTCCTCCATGTTGGACTGAATCTCATTGGATTTTCATGCCTTTTTTTATGTATAGGTAAATATAGATAGAACTGAAGTAGACATAAAGACTGGGAGGATTCTTCTATTATGTTGACACAGAACAGTAAGAGTTCACTATTGTTAAACCCAAAACATTAAAGGTGACTGATTTGCACAGACCCTTCCAAACTGTGGGCATGCACAGCTGCTCATGTCATAAAGTACCCTTGCACAATTTTCTTTCTACAGTGAGACGTCCCATCTGTGTCTGTAGCAGTCACCCTGAAGTTGACAGGAATATGAGTCAAATGGTAGATTCACTTTGCCCCTGGGTTTTCACAGGAGGTAAGGACTAGTCTGAAACAAAATTGAACAGTGAGGGTTATGTATGGTGCTTCTTACTAAACACTTTTCTGTGCCACTGCCTCTTTCATGACCTGATACTCCCTCAAATTACCAGACTCCCAGTGCCACCATACTGTCAGTCTTGCCATACTGTCATTTAGCTAGCCAAAGTCCCCTGCTTTAAAATCCCATTAAAACCTGGCCTCCTCCACAGTAACCTTATGCTCCAAAATTGCCTCTCATTCTTCCTCTCCCTATTCTTAGCACAATTGCCATTTCCTTAATGATCTCAGAAAGTTTTTGAAAAAGGATATTTCTGGTTAATTCCAAAACAAAACAATAGAGGCAATCTTTACATAAAATTACTCTTATATTATGTAGTATATGTTTTGTTAACCTAAACCACCGACCTCCTATAAAGCCTTTGTGCCTTGCTATGTATTTAACTTTGCCTTCACTTTTTGTGTAAATACTTTAATCCAGTGCTGGTTTCAGGCTTCAAAACCTTGAACCCCAGTAACTAGAACCCCAATGTTGAAGAATGTGTCCAAAGGCAGAAAACTTGGGAAAGATGCCTTTGAACTGAAAATAACTAGTTATTATCCAAAGAGTCATTGAATCAATATTTGGCAATCCATTCATTTATCAAACATTTATTATATGCATACTATGTGCCAATACTATACTAAGTATAGGAAATTTTAAAAGAAAAAAAATGAGTAAGTAATAGTATTAACCTTCAAGAAATGTGTAATATAGATGGAGAGATAAAACATATGTTCATCGCAATTCTTTGTAACAACTGTTTTGGTGAAAGGGCAATTCAGTGAAAAGATGGGCTTAGATACAGATCAATCTGAACTTGAACATTGCCACTTATCAGCCTCAGCAAGTCACTTAATGTCCCAGGGCTTTAGTTTTGATTTTGTTTTTGTTTTTGTTTGTTGTTTTGCTGCTGTTGTTTTGTTTTAATCGTAAAACTACAGAAAATATATGTTTATTTTGCAGGATTGTTTAGAGAAAACACATACTCTGGTACTACTGTTCTTGGCATAAAAGATATATACCTGGCAACTATTTTTTTCATTATTATAATGATAAAGATAAGCCCACATATTATATACAAACACAAAAATGACTTAGAATTTGTGAGTCCAGAGAGATTTCCATCATTCCGAAGTGACTTAAAATGACAAGTATAAATATGATAAGAGAATGGAGAGAAGAAAGTGAAGATTGTCATGGCCCCATAATCAAAGGCACAGAGAATCATGGTAGCTTAGGGACTGCTAGTGGGTCTGAATGGCTGCAACAGAAGATCAGAAACTAACTTTTGAGGTTGAAAACAAGATCACAAAACAAAAGGACTTCATATCCACAATAACTATATGTCCCTGTTTACCTGTAATAAACCTGAATTATGCCTATGCCCCAAAGTAATTATTCCTAAGCTTAAATGATAAATCATATGGTTACCCTACTTAAACTCCATGGTGGGAAATGTTGGTCTAACCTGAAAAGTATGAAGAGTGCCTGAAGAAAGCTAACCTGAGGAATGACATAATCAATTCTGGTTTTAAAGAACACATTCTGTCAATTCTGTTACCAATGATGAAGGATAGTTCAGAGAGGGCAATCTGGAGGCAAGATAGAATGTGAAAGTAAAGTCAGTATGAGTCACACTTTAGTTATTTGATCTAGATTACAATCATAGATAACATATCTCTTCAATCTATTTATCACCTACTCTATGTCTAAGGATATTCTAAATGCTTACCTGTGTTACCTCATTTAAACCTCATCACACCATCACAAAGTGGGTTATTATTATTATCTGTCTTTTTATCTCTTATTCTCTCTCATTTTATATGAGGAAACTGAAACCTAGAGAGGTTAAATTATTTGCTAATTATTAGGAGGATTCAAACACGAACTCACAGAATCTATCATCAGATCTCATGTTTGTAACCACTAAATTATATTGCAATTATTAGGACTCAAGCCAATGGACTATTGTCAGGACCCCAACCCAGAACTAGACTAGGTAAATCAAATCCTCTCTTCTTCTTTTGTGCCCCAGAATCCCCAAAGGATTATTATATTATTATTTACTATTTTTGTTTGTTTATTTATTTTCCTGGCCTTTTTCCCTGATTCACCAAACTGGAACTCAGATAAATTTCCTTAACCTGCAATAGAGCAAAGACATTGTCGTGGACTCAGGCTATTCTTTCCTGTTATATTTATGCTGTCAAGACCACTACAAAAAGCCAAGGTTAAGGTTTCCCCTCCTAATCTAGGAGTGTCAGTAAAATAAAATGTTTAATTTTAAAAAGAGCATTTTGACAACTTTTCCACATCTAAAAATGAGACATGATTGTTTACCACTCTCATTTAGATAGAAGAGGAAAATTTTCTTCCCACATTTATCTCAGTCTCTATTTCTGTTGCTATTCCATAATTAATCTCCCCAGGATGATTAAAAATTATAATATTTATCATCTTTGTGAAAAATGCATCCTTACTACCATGAAACAGGGTGACATTAGTATATTTGACAAAGTCTGGGCTACTAGTTCAATTCATGATTACTTGAATACATAGGGGAAAATACCTACTGACATTTGAAATAGGATGACTAATCTGTGATATGTATGAAATAGAATTAAGAAGACTAAAAACAGATTGCATGTGAGAGGTCAGTGAAAGGGAAAAATCAAGGATGATTTTTTTTGCCTCAGGTGAATGAGTGAATGAGTGGATAGTGATTTTATAAAATTAACTAGGGAATATAATCAGAGGAACTGCTTAAAAGATTGGACAGGTGTTAGTGAATTCAGTAAATATTTGTTGGTAGAAATACATAGTTGAATTAAAGATAACATCACTGGAATGAAAAGATGATGGAGAAGTTAATTTAAAATGGAACCAGTTCAACCAATTATTTCAAGTTTACTGGACAAACATGAAGACAAATTGTTTTGGTGTTGTGTATTAGCTGGGCAATGGGGAGGGCAAATGGGAAATACAGACATGTGCATGTGAGTGTAGAAACATACACATCATCCTAAAAATGTCTGAAAATTGATTACAGAGAACATTTAGAATGTCTGTATAATTCTGTTACATCTAATCTATTATTGTAATTTTAACCAATTGAAAAGATTGGATATTAGGTTTTTGTTTTGTTACGTTTTGTTTTGAAATACACTGCTTGATATTGTGATAGAAAAAATGTTTTAATCCTTCATAAGCTTGATGTATACTCTCTTTGGCTCAGCTGCACAAGGTGTGTTTTATCCATTAACTGTTGAAGACTATTTAAAGTCTTAGCTAAAATTATCATTAATTTTTTCCTACCTTAGTTGAATTTTTCCTGTATTCAAAAAGATAAGTAGATCCTTGGTTTAGAAGATAAAGATAAGTTGCCATGTCGCTTCTAAAATGTCTCCTAATTTTTATTTCCCTGGACACATTTTCACAGCCAATGGTAACATTCTTGCTGACATACTCATATCGTCTATCTATGTCCCAGAGGTGATGAGGAGATCTGACGGATAGAGACACATCAGCAGCCATGCCAACTGGCTGCCAACTTGGACATATGTACAGAACAGAGAGCGTGCTAAAGTTCCTAATGTAGAGAGCCAAGAGCCCACTGACATTCACCAATGACTGAAGAATGTGTCAATATCGCTACAGCATAGTCAAGTTTGGAGTAAGCCATGTTAAAGGTTTGGAAAGGAGAAGATGACCACCCGGGAAGGGCACCACTCTGCTATGTATATGTGCCTCATTTGGCATCCATTTTGCATGTCTGCTGCTGGGCTTCCATCTGTCGAATCTCAATGTAATGTCAGAAATAAAAACTGAAGACTTCATGGCTTCAAAATGCAGTTTTCTGCTGGCTGCCTGATGGCCGTCTGGGGACATAAAATTTAGAAACCCCAGGGGCTGACCAGCCCTTTTATATGATAAGTGTACTTTAACTTTACCTCTGCAGAATGTTTAATCTAATCAATATATAACTTCAGGAAGAATCTTGCAAATTTAAAGATTCAAAAGTGAGAGAACATAGTACTTCATCTTATCATAGAATCAAATCACATATATCTGAGTTTAATTATGAAATAATTTCCCTTTTATCTGTTGGATGTGTACCTAGAAAAATATAATATTAACTGGAATGCAATTTAACTTGTACTATATGTCTAAGTTATAACTTAATCACAATATATAATATTTTCAGAAGAAATAAATCTAGGACTTTGAAAATATTTTACCAACTATATTTAATTAAAATTCCCCAAATACATCTATAATAGCATCTTTGACCCTTTCCTAACCATATTTATTTGTGTCTCTCATTGGAAGACTAATTAATTAAAAATGCATCACTAATTCTGGTCAGTTTTATTTTTCCTTTCTTTTCATTCTTAGAATTTAAAATGTTTTTTTTCTGTAACATATAAACATTTGACCTCTACTTCAAGTGTACTCTAAAAGTGTTTAAGTGTTATCGTTTCTTTGTATTAGAATATAATCAATCATATATTGAGAGAAATTGCAAAACCAAAGGATTGAAGAATGGAAGTGGATATGCCAGGATATCTTGATTAGACTTGTACTAGTTCACCTCCTCTAGGTAAATATAGCTTTATATCTCTGTCTTCAGAACTTGATTATTATAGAATTTCAAGCTCTGTAATGTTATGATTATTTTCTAATAGAACAACTGATCTGCTTCCATTGTTGAGTGTGTGTGAAGGCTGATCACACTTTCTCATTATTAAAATATATTTTACAAAGTAAGAATACAATTAAAATTAAAAATTATATAAATATGAAAAAAATTATATAAATATGTATATGTATGTATATATATTTTAGGTATTTTGATAAAATCACTCAAGGTTGACCACCAATAAGTCCTTGTTTCCCCTTTAGTGTAAGCCCAAACTATGAATTTATTTAGCCAATAGAATATGGCAAAAGTAATGGGATACTACTCATGATTATCTGACATTATGTAAGATTCTATCTTAGTAGACTGGCCTGCCAACCTTGAAAAAACAAACAGTCCTGTTGTAAACTGACTATAGTGATGAACATCCAAAAATGAGCAGCAGATAGCCTCTAGGAACGAAGAATAGCTCCCAATAAATAGCAAAAGAAAGAAAAGAAAAAACAAAAAAATAGTGGTGTTTGGGAGACACCACAGTTCTATAAGTACAAGGAAAAATATTCTGCCAACAACAAGCTTGGCAGTAGATTCCTCTCCCGTCAAGCCTCAGATGAGAATGCAGCCTGGCTAACACTTTGATTGAGTCTTGTGAGAACCTGAGCAGAGGCTCTAGCTCACCTGTGCCTGGACTCTGGACCCACAGAAAATGTCAGATGAAAAATGTGTGTTGTTTTAAGCTGCTGAATTGTGATCATCAGTTTCATAGCAATAGAAGTCTAAAATAGATTTATACACAATTCTCCAGAACTCATATCTCAATAAATAGTCTGGAGTTGTATTAGTTGGCTGAAGCTACCATAAAAAAGTACCATGAACTGGATGACTTAAACAACAGAATCCTCACAGTTCTGGAGCTAGAAGTCCAAGATCAAGATGTCAACAGAGTTCCTTGAGGGCTATGGGGAAGATCTGTTCCATATGCCTCTCACAGATCCTGGTGGCCTGCTAGAAATTTTTGTCATTCTTTGGCTTGTAGAAGCATCATCCCAATCTCTGTTTTCATGTTCACATGGTGTTTTACCTGTGTGCATGTCTGTGTCTAAATTACTCATTTTTATAAAGCCACTAATTATATGGATTAGAGTCCCACTTTAGTATGACCTCATATTAACTAATTACATCTGCAATGAATGTATTTCTAAATAAGATCATATTCTTTGGAACTGGGAATAAACTTGAGGGGACACAATTCAACTCATAACAGGTGTTTGGCTCTTACTATAAAAGGGATTTCTAAGAAAGAAGAGAATAATACCATTTTAATTTAAGGTGTCATTTCTCAAAATATTGAGCTCTCCTTTCATCTCTCACTTTGTCATAGCTAGAAGAGAGGGGAACCAAAATCATTCATATATCCATCTCTTTTTAAAATGTGTTTCTTTTGAATACTTGGTTTTCACAGTGACAGGAGCCATGAAAATACATTTCATTAAAAAGTTATTATATCAGCTTCACTCATTAAAATACAGAACAAGTTCTTGTCTTGGCTTATGTAATGTGGTGTCCCAAAATAGTCAGACTTTGAAGACTGAAAAGTTTGTGAATTACCAATATTTCTTTAATGGTAACTTATTTTCTATCATATTTTGAGGACAGAAAGCATGAAAATGTATTTCATGTAACCGAAGTTTGAAATCATCCACTTCCAAGTGATAGAGATTTTAAATATTGAAGAGAATCTTGTGGCCTACAGAAATAGCTAGTGTGGCCAACAGAAATAGCTATTAGCCAATTAAGCATCTTCTACCTGCAAAGTACTCCAGTAAACAATAACATATATCGCTTCATTATCTATATAGCAATCATATCAAGTAGATGTTAACATCTCCATTGTATAAATAAACTGAGAAAAAAGAATAAGCAATGTGCTTAAAGTCACACAGTTAGAGAATATTAGATCAGAAATTTTAATCAAAGTTACCTGGAATCTAAGAATCAAAAATTTTTAGAATCCACTATTAGCCACCCCCACTTTGTTATTCAGGTAAAAACTTATTATTAAACACATTGTGTCATTCAGAGATTTCTTTAAATAGCACCTCTGAACTCAAAGGGAAAGCAGATTGGAGCTGACAGGAGAAGAGTGCTGGCCTTGTTCAATTTCCTACATGTTCCCTCAGACAGCATTCCAGACACTTAAATTATCTCCTTGATGTAGAGTTGGATGAATATCAGACACCAAAAAAAAGTTTCTTAAGGAGACAACATGACACTATAATGAAAAGCAGAAGCTTACAATTGTATCTACAGGTCTGTGACTCATATGCCTCAAGAGCTTCTACTATGGTTGTCTCGTTTTTGCTTTAACACTGTTTACCTCCCCTTCCTGTATTGTTTGCTGCATATATAAATTGTGGCTTGATCTGAGATTTGCATGGTTTGGGTTGTATTTAGAGCCCTCATCTAAAAACATAGCATGGGTTAGATGAGAGATTCAACTCATGCCCTCAAGCTGTAGAAATACTCACACATCACTAGAAGTTAGTTACTTGGGAAGGGTTTCCACAATTCTGTATCTATAGCCCTGTAATCAGATGACCAGATCTGTTTCCTTCATCAGCACAGCATGACCTGATGAGTAGCAATCTTTCCCTCTCTATTTCCCAGCTTAGGCTGTGATTAATTTGATTGGTTTCAAAACCTGTTGTGTCTTTCCTCTGTGCCCTGCCTGAATATTGGCACAATATGATTGCAGTAGGTTGCATTATTTCCATTTTATCTTACATACTTGAACATCAGGCCACTTAATCCCAACATATAAATTTACATAATATTGAATGCAAGTGAACACTTTAAGCCAAGAGCCTTAATATTTTTTTAAGGCTATGTAACTTCTCCTAAATTAACATGAGGCATGTTGACAAAAAGATATCACAAGTAACAACATAAGATATAGGAAATTTAAGTAAATCTTGGGTAATATATAATCAATGCATTTGGTTGTACTATATATCATGTTTATTGTAATACCAATTCTGATCTCCAATCAGCAGAGCTAAAACTGGGGTTATTTCTTGTGATTACTTTTCCAAATTAAAGTACTACATAAATTGAAAGGAAACCTGTTCATTCAAAAAACATTTATTTAGTACCTATTATATGGCAGTTGTGCTTTGAAGACTGGGTTAGAAAATAAATATGATAGTTATAAACTTTACTGTTAGAGAAAATATAAGCTAACTAGAGTAACTTCCTTTAACTGTTCTGCCCCAAATTTTTCATTATGTTTAGATGCTTCATTTGGTTCTTAAGATTACTGTTTACTCTACATGATTTTTGCCAATATCTAAAAGTTATTGTTATTTTTTCATTACTTTTAATGACTGAAAATAATCTAGGTCTGGTTTTCACTAGACTTAACATATAACTGCTTTGTCCTCAGTTTTAAAATTCATAAGCTTGTAGGAATAATACACTCCTTCCAGGATAGAATGCCTAAAATTTCAATCCCAGAGGTGAGAGGATATTTTTAATGAAATAAAGCAATTACTTCATTCCTATTTTATTAGCTATTTGTGATTTTAATTCAATAGTAGTTAAGAATATTCTTCTGAGAGCAAGTTGCTAGATATCCTCTTGTGTTAACACTGTTAAAGAAGTCCTGGTGATGACAGATATAAATTTGGTGGTATAGCTACCTTCTCACCTCTTCATTCTGCTTGCTCTTCCACTGCAAAAATTTCCCTCTGCACTTTAGCTGGTGTGTGTGTGTTTGTGTGTGTGTATAGAAAAATTAAAAATTTCCAAAATATGCAACATACAAATTATATAGTTTTGTTTTTCTAGTAAGAGCCTTTTAAAATACTTTT